CGACTATATGTGTCTGAGTTAGTGGTGACATTAGATGGTTGGAGGCAATGGCTAAGAACTTATCTGTTTAGATTTGTGTTAGTAGGTTTTTTTCACACATACGAATCTGCAGTCTTGACAGATTTGATGTACTGACAGGTATCGGACTGAACCCAGCTATCTCCTCCACGTCTACTCGTTTGTGATGCAGTCATAGAAGCTACAACCAAGTTGTTCGTTTAACGAATAATTTTCTGTAGGACAAAGGTATTTGTACATTAATTGGTTCCTTAATAACTGCTGATTAAAGATCAATTGTCGAGGAAAGGATGTCGACTATTTAATAGATTACATTCGTCAAATATGTGACATAAAAACAAAGGGTATTTCATTCAAATCTCGACATTATGATCTTTTTACCCATTTCACAGTATACATAATTAGGACTTATGGTTTTTTTAACGCATCCAATCAATTTGAAATTTCCACATATTTAGTGAGAGGCTGTGGCCATTGGAGTCCAATTTGTGTCGGGTGGAGACAGTTGTCCACCTCAGACAATGAATAAAGGGTTTAGTAAGATCATGGATCGATTGAAGTTAGACATTAACACCGTTGGATGCCGACTTGGTTGGTAAAGTTTATACAGGTATATGAAAATATTAAAATAATCAAGGTAGTTTACGAGTCAGTGATCACAATACAATAGACTGTATAATAGGCAAAAAGTATAAATTTTAATAGTGAGATAATAGGTATAATAGTTGTGAGAAGAATAACAAAGGTTTAAATCAATGTTTCATAATAGAAAGTAGGTCGAAGATTTGGGAAAATAAGACATTGAAATGAGTTGAGTCGGCTTTCCGAGAACTGCAACAGAGCCTCTAGAAGCCCTAGAGGAGCCGAAGAGTTCTAGCCAGTCAGAGCATGATGGAGCTATATAGAATGTCAACGTGGCGTGTTACTATTGGTCAGTAGCATAATATATCTTTTAGCGGATTGTCTAAAATATGATGTTGATTTAACAAATGTTAACATATATAAATACCCGTATTTTCTGTACAAAAACGAACCTTGGAGTAAAGTATTTTCTCGCATACTTAGCGTCTTCTCTCTTGTATTCAGGTCGCTGTATAGTTCTAGCTTGTGGGTTTCCAGAATAGCTTAGGAAACGAATATAGCGTTCAATTCGCAAGACTTATCAAAATGATATCTAATAAAATCACTGTAACTGTGCCTTAAGTAGAGTTCAAATAATTAAAAAAAAGTGAGTGAAAACAAAGGGTACAGAAAATAATAATAATAAGTGAACTGGTTTGTTAAGCCTAACTCGACCAATGAAGGGATAAAAGTGTCATAAATTCCTTATGAATAAACAGCTTGGGTAGATAGCTAGGGTCCAATAGATTCTGATATATACAAGAACAAAATAAATAGAAACATACATTACTTTGAATGGTTTAGGTCTATCTGTTACATAATCACTATTGACCAAATGTGATAGAACGGGGCTGAATATTATTTTTGTTATGCTTTTCACCGATCACGAAGAAAGGTATTCACTAACCTGTTTAATTATATGTCCGCTACAGTGTTTTCCATAAGAGCGGCCGAATTTGTTGATACACAACAGATACTAGGTTTGAGTTTTAGTAGAAACAATAACATTGGGATGTATGTAAATTCAATTCAAAAATCACAAGTAAGATGAAACGTGCATCCTGCATCCAACTGACAGTCATTATTCAATTTTACTAAAGTTTGTTGAAAATTCAGAGAAACAGAACATAAGAAGGAAGATTTCGAGAACTATATGAACAGAAATCCATGATTAGGTAAGATATCAATAAATGGTATCACGCATGAAGATGGCGATAGTTGAACTAAGCTATCTAGATGGGTATAGACTACTTGGTTAAGGTCTACGTTTGTCCCCTCAGAATCCTGGAGCCCATGTTCACCATTGGTTTGGAATCAGAGTTTCGCAACTCCCCCCAGGTGAGTCTTCCATATCCACCAACCCGATTAAAGCGTCGAACATACGCTTTTCATCCCCTTGATTTCATAAACAACAATCCCACCACGAGAAGGCAGTGAGTAGGACTTCTCTGATAGTGGCTGTATACGCGAGGCCATTTCAGAGTTTTTCGAGAGGGAGAACTAACTCCACCCTCCCTCGGCCATATCGGGGCTTTAGCGAATTCACTAAGCAACAGCTTCGTTTATTTAACTTCGAGCCACTTTCCTTCAAGTATATGAGGGTTAGTAAATGATAATATGGAATTTTTTAGACGGTAGATTGAAGTTTCTTAATTTTTAAAATAGAAGAACCCAATTGTATAAATATTCATTTACATGGCTTATAAGACAGTGTTCATTCTATTTCTAACGATTACTTCTTACTTTAAATCATATTCTCAACTGTAAGTCATGTTTCGTATCTAAATTTTATACACTGACCTAAAATACTAATTGTGGATCAAACTCTTAACTACAAATCAAAAATCAAACATCCTATTCTTGATCTTTATTTGGGAATTTTATTCAGTAAATTACTCAATAACTGAATTCACGAATCGATCTAAGCTAGATCAACATTGAAAACCTGGAAGCACTGGATGGTTATAAATATTGTGACACCGACTATATGTGAAAACTTGGTTTGAGGTGCATATTTTTGTTACAAGAAGTGTTTATTTTCATAGTGACAAGTAATTTATAGTTACATTATTCTTGTATATATGAATTAAGAACTTTACTTCGCCAAATACATGATTTACGCGAACTGATTTCCTTTGACTAATGAATATGTTACCTGAAATCTATTCAGTTTAGGATTCTGAAATTGAGAGGACGAAAAGCAAATTTCCGACGCTTTAACCAGGTTGGCGGACACGGAGGGTCCAACTAGGGGAGTTGGAAAACTCTCATTCCAAACCAACGGTGCACATGGGCTACGGTGGCATATGAACCTATTGTTGGTCACCGGCTACCATGGGACTGCATCTCCTAACGTTGTTCCACTGACTTGTGTAAGTCGAAGGCTCAGGGAATGGCCGCTTATGAAAATCACCTGTTTCGGTTTGGGTACCCGGGCAGAATCATAGCGCTCACACAAACCAATGATAACTACTACTGGCTTCATTGTTATTGTATGGCATATATATATATATATATATATATATATATATATATATATATATATATATATATATATTTGGTGCCCCCTTGTACCAATGTTCAAATAAATAGGATTCTGAAGACTTGATCATGAATGAGTAAATTCAATTGATCCCGTAATGAAAAGATTAAGACGTTATAAACTACCCATATGTTGTTTACAATTAAACAGAAATATGTCAAAACTCTAGATCGAGAGAACGTTGAAAATGCTAAAGAATTTGTAAACGCGTAGGATTCTCATTTATCGGTAATGAATAAGTAGACCGATTCATTTTAACAACTTTGACGAAAGAGGTCAATCAGTCACATGGTTAGAGGTCAGCTGAACACGATAATCAATAGGAATACACGGAAAAATGAGGATAGCGGTATCTAAAAGCACAACCATTTATAAAGAAGGCCATTAGGAGAAACTACGTTAATGTATGTGGAACAACTAAACAACTCATTTCCATATCAACTAGGCGTTTGATGGTGTTGTTCAGAATGATATACCATTCAATCGCCAATCTTAAAAACTTAACAACGCAAAAAACGAATAATTGCAGAAGAATGTTGCAAATACACTGACTATATATATAGTAAGCCTAGTAATGCATTACTCATATAAGCATGAATTTTCAAACTGAAAACAAAGTACTCAGGAATTGTTTTCACTCAAATCATACTACTTGTAAGTAACACAGGACATTAAACAATAAAAAAATACATATAGGCATTTTGGATAGGTGATGTGCGTGTGAATGTGGGTTTATTTGTGTGCAATCACTGGAACAATCTAGGTGTGCAGGGTATACACATGACCATAAAGTCACGCGTGTAAACATACGCACACTATGGAACATTACGAAAAAATAGTAATCGTAATTGCTAACAAAGTTGCATGCTGAAATGAGAAAAAGGAATTAAACTAAGCCGAGAAACTTATGTTTTCAGTTCTATAAGACAATTGATGATTAAGGATAAAACGGAAGCAGAAATCGAGAGAAATTGTAAAAGCATTAGAGATAATTTGAGAAGTTTTGATTTGTAAAAAAAATGCTCGGCATAAATACACGACTATCATCTTTATGTGTGTGTGCAGTTAAAATTTACATACTATTTACAAATAAGACAAGTTTCGTGTGAAGATGTAAAGGGGAAAAACAGAAACATAATTCTATACCGACAACGGTAACTGGAATTTTGCAAAAAGAACCTAAGCGAGAGAGAGTGAGTGAGTAAAAGAGGAATACAAGGAAGAAGAGCATGAAAATGAAATAAACGAGATAGTGATAAAGAGAAACAACGTCTAGCACACAAAAATTATTGGACACACCAGTGAGCAAACGCAGTGAATAAAAAAACTCACCAAACAAACAGACATAAGGCTAGCTATTGGGACATTAAACATTGTCATCTTTATTATTCCGTATAATAAAACATAATAATAGAGAGCCAGTTGGTGAATAAATTGTACAAAATAGATTTTACAAAAAAATGATCAAATAAATAGCATTATTGAGTTGCATATGTACTATAAAATAAAAAAAACGTGCAATCAAGTCATCATCATGATTGGTATTGGCGATAGGGGAGAAGAATCAAAGAAAACTCATGTGAGCAGGAAATCGATAAACCGACGACATCAACGACCCTAACAGCAAATAGGATATATATACTGTGTGTGTGTGTGAAAACGAGATCTTGTATCGCTTCTATCCAACTCTGTATATGAAGAAATTGATATACATGTAAAAAATACATACATACATTCCATGCATGAATACATACATAGACAGACAATGATAACGACAACAATGTCAACGGTAATAGTAACACAATAATAATAATTATTATTATTTTCTTCCTGTAACTTTCTTTCGTGAAAATATACGTGAACAAGGTTTTAATCGATTACGTGTTCTTGGTAAAGTTCCAGTAGATTGAATAGAAATATCATCTATTTGAATTTTAGGTAATGATGATGTGATTTCAATAGTTGAAGTTAATTCTGTAGCACTATTCACATTTCTATAATAAATAGTATTAGAAGATGAAGAAGTAGAATTGGTCGTTGAAACAACTGGTGAATAACTATTATTATTAGTAGTAGTAGTATTAGTAGTAGTTTGAGAATTATTTGAAGCATCTTTTTTAAATCGTATACTTTTTATTCGATTACGAAATGAATTGAATGGATTGAAAAACCATTGATTGAATCTATTCAAATGATTAGTATTATTATTAGTTGAATGATAATCTCTTTTCATAAATTGTTCTTGTCTATTCAATGTTGAATTCATATGAGTTTGATCAAAATCTATATTCAAATCATTCGATAGTTGATCAGGATCAATAGCAATGATATTGGTAGATTTTTGATATGGTTGTTGTTGTTGTTTTGAACAAGTGAAATTAAGAAAATCTTTTGGTATACTATTAATAGATCGTAAACCATAATGCCAAGTTTTTTGATTTAATGTATCATTACTATTGTTATTATTATTATTATTATCATTATTTATATTGACACTGTTCTGCATTTGTCGAGGTACATTTAAATCGGATGGAATGAATGCTATAGGACCTGGTAGACTACCAGTTCGATTTGTCACATTAGGATTTATTGCAAATTTAGGTAGTCTGTAAGTAGTAGGAATAGAAATTGGTAAATCCGCTGGAGAAGCTGGAGGTTCCGATACATCATTCATATTATTGATAGGTTGTATACCTTCATACACTGGAACACCAAGATCTAGACACCAATATGGTTGTGGTGTCATATTACTTTTTAAAGATTTTTCTCGTTTAGATTGATGATTAGTTAACTGTTGTTGATCTGATGGTAAAAAGTAACAGTGTGATTGATTATTATTATTATTATTATTAACATTATCAGGAACGTTGTCAATCGGATGACAAATATTTCCAGACCGAAGACTAGTTTCTTCTGTTAAATGAATAGGGCTAGCAGAGTGTAAATAATTCATTGAAAGATTATTATATACATATGGGTAATTTGTGATTGTCGGATCAGGTTCCATTCGTGAACCAATACCTATTGGAGAGCAGATAAAGACCAAGTGTAAACTTTGACAATTCATTAATGTCTCTTGAATGAGATCATGAATCGAGCGACGTCAGACCACCATTGAAAACCTGGAAACACTGGGTGGCCGTTTCGTTCTAGCATGGGACTCTTCAGCAGTGCGTATCCACGATCCCGTACGCAGGATTGAAAACCAGGACCTTCAGTCGGACGAAACGACAGTCTAGTGCTCCCAGGTTTTTAATGGTGGTCTAACATCGATTGATTCATGATCTCAATCAAGAATTTAACAATCTCCATAACCTCATACTGATAATTCCCTAATTATTTGAGCATTCAAAATCAATGGTATTAGTATTTTCTTCGTTTAAATTCGGTTGGTCAAAAAAGGGAAGATAAAAACGACACCAATTCCTTCTGTTTTTAAAGTTTTGCACTTTCGCGGCATTCATGTTAAGACTTATTAGTTGATCAATTTAAACAATCAGAAAATACAAAGTTTAACAAACAGAATTCATATACACATTGAACAAGTCAGTGACTACCTGGACTTATTAGCTAGGTGGTGGATAACGTGTTAAATGTTTGAAGTAAAAGATCTTGAATTTAAGTCTTATAATGTGAATATTAACAATATGGGGAGATCCAGAGATATACCCAGAGATGACGATGAAATGCATGTTATAGATGCTACTGTTAAAAAATATTTGGATTTAATCTATATAAATTTCAGTCAGAATTATGTCAGTTTGCTTCTATGTAACAGTAAAATTTGTTTATTAGAGTAAAGCTTATAATTTAGAATAAGAAAATATCCACTTCTGAGCGCATATTTCAAAGGTTTCTAGATTTCATATCTGTCACAACAAAACACACTTCATGAGATCAATGAGTAAAATAATAAGTAGTTGAGTGTTAAAGTATGAAAAACTAAATTAGGCGACAGTTGAATTTCGAACTAAATTTCCCGCATTGATGTATTATCAGGGGTTAGATTTGTTTATCCATGTTTACTCGTGTACAGTTGAAAAAAGTACACAAGAATGGTCTCGAATGTTAGATTATTTTTAAAACAATGGAACTACTAGATAGATGTTTTGTCTTAGTATTGAACTCCGCCTCAGCAGCAGTGCACATCCATGACTCCATCGCTGGGTATCAAAGACAAGACCTTAGTGATATGGAGAGCCAACCAGAAGGAGCAAAAGGTTGATGGTAATCAGAAGTGACCTAAAGGTCACTAATAATAAGTTAAATAGGATATTGAACAGGGAATTTATTCTAACATTACATAGTTTGTGCTTAGAATCCTTTACTATAATAAAAAATTTGGCATTGAATAAGGTGATTATTAATGCCCATGAGTAAAAGAAATCATATTAGAGTGAATATTCATCAACCTATCTCATGATTTTTCATTGGACAGTAGTTTAACCTCAACAATGCTTATCCACGACACTACCACTTGGGATGTAACGCATGACCTTTGGCTTTGCTCACAAGGAAGACGTTTGGACAATATTGTGAATCGATTGACTTTAGACTTGTTCACCATTGGATCCTGGATAAGTGGTCCAGAGATTAAGCAATCACACTTAGACCTAAGTGTTGTGACGTGCAGTGTCCGTTATCTGATAGATGGTGTGCCACGTGTTAAGATCACCTCTACACATGAAGAACATCTCCAAGATTGTAAACAGATTATTAAATCCGACAGAAACAAGTGTAGCCTACTAATAATTTAATGAGCCATAAGAAGTAGCCAAACGAGAAGGTCACTTTTGGTGGAGTTTTGTTCTCTGAGCTGGATGGTTTGGTCATGGAGCTTTCATCTTTCTTCTGAACGACATCATCAGCACAAACTTCAGATAGATAGAACTCCACAAAAATCATCCACCTGAGCTACAAATCTTCTCCACCATCTCAAGAAGGTCACTTGATGACAATCGTAAAATGACCTGAAAGACAACTTTATATCATTGGCCAAAAATGGATCGATTTTCTAAGAGGTAGAAACGTATATTTATATAAATGAGTATCTATGCATATTATTTGGTAAACCAATAGACTTTCTCTCCCACTCTTATCTTCTCGCTCAAGTAGACAGCCTAGGGGGAGGAGTCAATGCGTAGCATATTATGTATCAGTATCATATCTTAGAAACCGTATATCATAACACTTAAAAAATCTTTACAATCAACAGTATTCAGGTAAAGGGACACAATAACAAACATTTACACAATAAAATGTATCAACTGAGAGAGGCAATATATTGTTAAACAAAATGATATATCTTCACTTATATAAAGATATGTTGACAACTATGGAGATGAGCTCAACTGAGAAAACGTTGAAATATTATTAAACAGAGGAAACACAAAGAAGGTCATACAATTTTATAATCCTGACATTCTAATCAAGCATCGATCAATTGACATAAAGGAATTGACCAAGCTTATCATCTAAAAAGAAAAACGGTAAATAATTGAAAGCTCGGATATAGGTTTACGGATGGAAACAGTTAAAACAAACAGAAAAAATAACGACTACGTAATTGTGGACAAAACAGGCTGCTAGTCACAGTTGTGAAAGAATCCTAGTATCTTGTCACTCTTTGAAATATGCGCTGATAATGTTGATATTGTCTAGAAAGACAATAAAAACTTTAAGACTAGACCATCCAGCCTAGAGAACACAACACATCACCGAAATATTTACCCTGAACAACGAATATTCTCCAACATAAGCAGGTCATCGCAGGAAATTCGACATGCAAAGAATAGATTATACTATTTTACACAGTCGATGATAATGACCGATTTAAAAAAAGGCAAAATAAAAGCTTGAGATTTTACGTCGTTTTAAAAACATACTACTTACAAAGTAGTAAGTAGTCGTTTAAACGCATGTATAAAAAAGAATGTATCAAAAAGAATTTTGATTTGAATTACCTAAGTTGGCCAGCTGTTTTTCAACATTGGAATATTGTAAACATGCTTCAGGTGAATAGTAAAAACTAGACATATATTCTGGTCTACTATACTCTTCATAGTCATCCAAATCATGAAATACCTAAATACAAAATATGATTGGGAAAAGAGCAGTATAGTAAGATGAACAAAATGTATAAATGATGATATTGTTTTACTATGACTATTCTGAGTGGAAAGTGTTCAATTCTGTCTAATATAAGCACATCAGACAATGTTCCGAGCAAGCCTATGATTCCTTTATACGGGTACTTGAGTAATAGTGTCAAACAGAAAACGTTTGGGACCAAATGGATGCTTGGTCATTCGTTATTAAACATATACAAAAGTGATTTAAGTTTGATTTCTTTAATATGGTTGTCAACGGATCTAAAGACAGATTATAAAGCGATCTTTGCCGATAATATACAATGTGAACGTTATCCACTATCTTTATACTGTTTATGTTCATATATCGCAAAGGCGACCATCTACCTACCGGAATCCCGGATCAGGAAAGCCTGTGATACCTTTGAACTTGATGCGATGCCCACACCAACTAGGCCAAGCGAATTGGCAACCAAGGGTCCAGATACATGGAAAGTAGATTGCGCCAGTCCTCTATATTGACTGGGTAATGTCAGGTTAATGACTACACTTGGATTTTGTATCCAAGTTTCAGAAACTCAGAAACAATATAGCTGATCATCTATAGTTAAGTAAAAATTCAAACTAAGAAGAAGGAGAGAAATAGCATTGAATGTCAAAAAAGGTGTATCGATTAAAGTAGAGATACCATTATCAATACAACGGCATGATATGAGTAAGAGGGAAAATAATAATGATATAAACAGTGATAGAACTATACAGTTTACATCACGGATTGACTTTCGTTAGACAGTCATTGAAAACCAGGAAGCTATTTCGTTAAGGGCTTGTCATAAGACCTGAAGCTCCTTGATTCGATTCCAGGTAAAGTCGTAAACATGTGTTTCTAGGAGGAGAGTCCCATACTAGAGAGTAAACAACTCCGCAATGCTCCCTGCTTTTCATCCTTACTTAACCAAGATCAGTTCGTAATGCAAACTACGAAATCCAACAATTTCAATAAATCCCTAAATACTAATAGTAATCACTTGCTAACTGGTAAGTAATGTCGACAGGTAATTTCTGAAGTTCTAGTGAGTAACTGTGACCATCGGTATTCAACTATTCTGAAAATCACTGAACAGACGTTTTATTCTTAATAAAGGCTCACCAGTAATAAATAACCATAACAGTACATTGGATCAAGTTCAATTTGACCCAGTCGACAGTAAAACAATTGTTACCCATTTAAGAAACTGAACGAAAATAGAAATATACATACACAGAGACTACAATTAAGAGAGACGAACCAATGGAACACCAGATAATAACTGATTAATATATCATGGTTACTGAGATACATATAGTTATTCGGCCTAATTCTACACCATTAGTAACATGTGTATACCAACTCGGTCAGTTTATTCAAGCATTCACAATCTGAATAGTAAGGAGATTATCGTCTTTTAACTAAAACCACAAAATATTTCTTACAGACAATCAACTTAGTTAGTGACTAAAAATGATCATTGTTGATAAGTGCTAAATTGGAAGTAAGTAACATATTCTTATTCATGTGACTGATTGGATCAGTTAGTCAAATGAAAGGTAGAAGGTTGTGGCATATTTGTGCATCAGTTCAATTTCTCATAGTACATTAGCACAGCGAGACGAAATTATCAGAGGATATCCCAGGGTAGTAAAGGTAGTAACAGTATTATCGAAACCAAAAAGTTAGAGTTTAAGAAAGAACAAAGGGTGAATACACCTGAGCCATTGAGAACGATATTGAGTAATGTCGCGTAAAGTTCCCAGTCATTATTTACGATAGTCACGTAGATCCCAATTAAGTAGTCTATACATAACTACTTAGATCAGTCTAACAGTCAGTGTCTTTATATGTTGCTAGGTCTTGGTTTGGCTGGCCATAATCCTTTCCCAACCTACTCCTACAAGAGGCAATATTGCGGTGGTTGGGCATTATGTTGCACATGTCCCAATCAACTCAGCTGATGGAGATTTATTACGTCATCAATCGACTTGCCATCTTTACATAGTATCCTAACCCAAACCCCGATATTATTTACTCGGTAGAGTTAGGGATGGGTACTAGGTAAATTGAATATTATTATTATTAAAAATGAAAGAAATTCCCCTACTTTTTATTCAACACCTACCTTTAAACGATCAATCACTGAGATTGGTGCAATATCATCATGATTATTAAACAAGTGTTCATCCTTATCACTGATAATCATATTTGATAAAGATGTTTGTATATCATTCTCATTACTACTAGTAAATGTTTGATTCGGTGAATTATTGAAAATTTCATCTATATCAAATATTCTAGCTCCAGTATCATCAATATGTGGTAGAGGATATTCAGAATGACATCGACGTAGATAAATTAATGGATCAAGCCAACAGATTATACCACGTTGTTGTTGTTGATGATGTTGTCGTTTATGATAATGAATTAATGTATGTGTTGGTGATTCATTATTTGATAATTGTTGATTATGTGATAATTCATTGCGTAATTTCATTTTAATTTTCTCCACAGACATTGGTGTTGGTGGATCTTGTATATACCAAGTTTGTTGACGAATTTGCAATAAAGTTAAACGTTTCTATTAACAGAAAAACAAATAAATTGTTAAAAATTTATTTATTTATTTACTTCAACACATAAATATTGGTAAAAGAGGGCACCAAATATATATGCCCCACACCATATTTGTGTGTGTGGGCTGTGATACTGCCCGGGTGCCCAGACCGAAGCAGATGGTTTACTTGGGGGGCCACACCCCGAGCCTTTGACCTAAAGGTCTGATCCACAAGGCAGTGGAGCATCGTGAGGAGATGCATTCCCATGGTAGCCGGTGATCAACAATAGGTTCATACGCCATTTGTTCCCGCAGGATACTGGAGCCCATGTGCACTATTGGTTTGGAATGAGAGTTTTCCAACTCCCCGGTTAAAGCGCCAGACATTCGCTCTTCGTCCTCTCATTTTCGTAAACAACACCCCCGCCACGAAAAGGCAGTGAGTAGGACTTCCCTGGCAGAGGCTGTATACGCGTGGCCGTGTGAGAGCATTTCGAGAGGGAGGGCGGGCCCACCCCACTCTCGGCCATACCAGGGCATTTGGGGACAAAAATCATTATATTATTGATTTGTAAGGAAATGTTCAATTTTCAATGAATCAACCAATCATCATGCATTTCTCTGATCTCATTTATCAGTATTGACATCACTGATTTCTCAAATATAAGGTCTATTTACTTTATTTTGAGCTACAAACACTTAATCCCTACTTAAAGATTGGTGATATTCAACGAATTGTCTAACCACCAAAATAGTTGTGTATGGGGGTTTGAACTTGCTTGATCACAGCTAGCTATTCTAACGTGTTAGTAGAGTTTTCTGGCTGTCATGATTGTTCAATCAAGTTTCATATTGACTGAAACACTTGTTCTTTTAGGTTATACTAAATCAGACAGGTTGGTTGGAGAGTGATAAAATTAGGATTGGTAAATGAAAGTCTGATAGTGAGGTCATGCAACTGACTGTATTGAGGTATGATGGCAGTATTTGTGGTTCATACAATCAGCATCTAGAACAACACTGTCTTAATCGACGGTTGGAGCTGTTGGATGTCGTTTACAAATTTACATTTTGCATCTTATATTCAGCTTTCCATTAACATGGTACCTTTTACACACCTTCTATCGCTGTGCTAATATACAGTCAATGCGGCGACTTTCAGACCAATGACCCGGTGTCTGACGTTTAATTTTGTGCGCGAAACAGAAGGTCCTGGGTTAGGGTCCCATGTGCGGAATCGTGGATGGACACTGCTGTGAAGTCTCATGTCGGGACGAAACGGCCTTCCCGGTTCTCAGTGGTGGTCTAGCTTAGATTCGTTCGTGAATTCAATGACATCCAACAATTGCCATAACCTTATACTAATAATTTGTAAAATTAAACTATGATTGCTCCACGACATTAAACATGCAAGTGATTAGGCCTGAATTTGCTCTGAAATAAAGATAGTGGATTTCAATGCTCGAAAACAAATTTCTTGGTCTTTTCAAAAATCTAAGAACGTTTGACCCACAGTTTAATTTTTTTTTCTATTCCTTCGACATTGAAAACCTGAACACAACTGGTCGAAAACGAGCTTATGGAAAATTGTCAATCTGAAGTGGTGTTCGTCAGCGTTGCTCATTTTTTCCGTCTCTATTCAACTTTATCAAAGATATCCTTTTAAAGATAACGCTCTCATCATCTAACTTTCCAGGACTTGGTCGTCTACCGAGAAATTCACTTTTTGACTTAGAATACACATATGATTTAGACCTATTATGTGGAAATACTGGCAAAATGCAGAATCTTTGAGCCCTTTGAATGACAATGTAAGCGTATTTGGAATGCCATTTATACCATGATTGTATCTAAAGTATCATTTCTTATCTGAAGTGTGTTGTGGTTCGATAATTCGTGCATATAAGCCAATGAGTGTTTGAGATAAATGTTGAATGGTTGAAATATAGTAATAGAAGCTTGGCTAGTATCTTTTCCTATTCAAACTCAAGGCTGGGAATAAATAGGCCAATACGGAGTGAAGCGTACTTTAGCGTCGGCTAAAGGTTATTTGTGTCTATTGGATCATGTTATTAGTCAAGACATAGTGAGTGCACTAGAGACTGTAGATGGAATAGAATAGGCAAGAGTAGAGAAATGATAATCGAAATTCTGATTGACAAATCTAAAACATAACAAAAAAATACTTAGTAAAGGTATACTTTATTGACAAATCAATCAAATTTAAGATAATGGGTTTTGGATTTTAGGGAGGAAGGATTGCTATTATTAAGACTAATGTAAGAGCTGAATAAAACTCATCAATGTTTAGTTACTACGACAAACACAGGAAGATTAAAGATAATAGTGATCACTATTTGTGAATTTATGAAAATAACTAAATAATTCTTGATATATAGAAATAAAGAACCAACTGTATAAATATTCATCTACACGGTTAAAAGTGAATTTTTCCATTTTATTCCTAACCTAGGACTCGTAATCATAAGCCTAACTATTGATCTTAACTCTAACTCTTAACCGTAGATCCTAATTCAGCAAAAGTATAGTATAATGATACCATTGAGTTAACCAGTTAGAAGGTAACGCCTCATTTATTTTAAGCGAAATTTGAAGTGCGATGAGGAGTACTTACTTACTTAAGCTTATTGTCCTTCATGGAGGAACATAGGTCATCTACCAGGATTCACTGTCGAACTCTGTTTTGGGCAATACTTTTGTAGTGAAGGGTAACTTGTATTTTATCATTGACGAAGTGAAAACTGGGAATATTTAGTTATTAAAATGCTTGGAATCAGTAGTATACGAAACATACATGTTATTATACAAATATTCGTCAAGATTAGAACAAATAGTTTGACAGAAATTGGGCGCCGAGTATAGAGAAGTTATTATATGTCTGGACGAAACATTGGCATTATTTAAATTTCAATAGCTGAGATTATTTCAAATATAATTTTCACATATAATACATGTTATTAGTTCTAAATTCATGTTCTGATATGAAAAGAGTTGAATGAAGTATCTTAGTCAAGGAATACTAGACAATAGAAGTGTATAGCAAATAAATGTATACAACAAACCATAATTCAAACGAGAAATAAACACTGATATGGAGACTTGAAAATAAATAAATAAACAAACAAACAAACTTGCTTTAGGATCTTTCTGCATCATTTTCCGAATCAAATCTGATGCATTGGTTGATACATATCCTGGTATTGTATAATCTCCTTTAACAATTGCTTCAAATATTTGTAGTACATTTTGACATGAAAATGGTACATGACCAGTAAGCATGAAATAAAGTGTTACACCAGCACTGTATACATCTAACTTAGTACCATCAAATATTGATTGTACACCTTTGGCTACTTCTGGAGGTTGTACAGCTGGTGTAGTTTGACCACCACTAACCTAAAATTACATAAGAAATTCAATATATAATACATTAGATGAATCTTAAGATTAAGTGATATTGTTAATTTTTGTTTTCATTTTCCGAACATATTTACATGTTGCTCCGATCTACTTTGTGCTATATTGTGCTACTTATAATTATTTAGTAGTCTATATTATATCTCCAACTACTTTGTGACTTGGATATTGTAGAAGAGCGTGTAGTAGTATTACGTTGTCACAATAAATTAACTATCCTGTTTATTAGTACTTTTATTTCAATGTTATAATTCGTTATTTACTTGCAATAATGTTTACTTTATCAGTATCGAGTCTTGTGGGTGACTTTTTGAAATTTTACGCGTTTTGAATAGAATATTTAATTACTGGTATTTCCTGAATGTTACAGACACTTGTAATGTCTCATGAATATTTTATCTAGGGAGTATTCGTGTTAAAATGTATTTATTGATCAAAAGAGAATATGAGTGATGGGATATCAGGGAGATTTTATCGTATTCAACTGGAGAGATCCGATTATCCCATCCCCAATACAGTCAAATGGATTAATCGAAACGTTCTCCGCATTTTCATGACCTGTGAAAATTTACCTCCTGATGTTTAGATCTAATTTTATGTAACATTAAAGAACATGACTTCTGTTCAAAGTATTAAAATGGATATCTTTTATATCTCGAATAACTCAAAGCTAAACTCTAAAATTTTCTACAATTACTTCAGAAAAAATGAGTAACAATAATACTATTCGAGGGTAATCAGGCATTTTAGAATTGCCAATATCGAAATTTTACCCATAAGCCATATTTATATTACTTATACCTTTACTGTCTATCACCATACTACTTATAAATACCAAATAGTTAGATATGTATATATTCAACAATTTCTACACTATATGAAGTATAACGAGTGATATTAAGTTTGTGTGTAACGAACCTCTCTTATCTTTCCTTATCAATGCGTTAATTCAGTTTCATGTTAAAATATTATACTCTTTAAAACCTTGTTTACTGATAAGAATATGTGTATTCTCGAATTGTAGTGTTTAATTCACATTTTCAATGATCATACTAGTGAAACAAGAATATCGTGGAGACTATCCTTTTCACATTACAGATGGGTTATCAAAAGTTATTACAATAGACGAACGATTAATGTACACTCTATTTTATAATTACTCAAATATTTCTCAACTAATGTTCTTGCTTAAAACACAAGGTAAGTAACTGTAAGAATATTCAATTGCTAAGCTCAGTTCCAGGTATATCCATAGATAATCCACATTGATCTGGCCAGATAAACTAGTTGATCAATGCAGACGATAAATAATTTTTCATACTGTTTGTCTAATTATCACACTCTAGACCATACAAATGATGATAATTTGAATCTTATCAGCGTGATATTGTACAAATTTTGGTGATGGAAATAAATATTATTGATATGGATAGTAAGTAAACTATTCCATTACTTTGTGAGAGATACTGATCACGAATCGATCATAGCTGGTGTACCAATAAAGATTAAGGACCATCGTACAGTTTTTTATTTGTCGTAGTATAATGTGACTCTTGAAAAATGCAAACCTACGACCACGCTTGGGATCTAATCAAAGACATGAAGGTTTCACGAATATCACTTACAAATTAAACATCTCTCAAAATACTTCAATATCCAGACAAACCTATCAACTATCAATGAGGCTCAATAGTACTTTCATGAAGAGTCTGCCCAACAACAAGTAGACAGTGAATATTGTTGTGACTTTTAAACTAGATATGAATTAACTACCTAATGCTTAGATGGAGTCTTTCCAACTATTTTATTATTTTGTTTTTACAAAAAAATTCATGTTTTTCTTACTCAACAATGTCTAAGATAGACAAGAAATTTACTAACAGTTATGCAAATGGATTTTACATGACATACACACTAGGTACATATAAGCATACATATAGAGACATACTCTGAGAGAACCATGATGTTCAAAAGTTTATTTTCGCTGTTATTAATAATAATAATAACGAAGTAAGTATTGATTTGCATATATGCGCATTCCTGTGACAATCATGACATCAGTATTAATAACATAGTTTGTAAGTGAAAAAATAATAAAGGTAATTAATGATCAATTTCGCAGATAGATACACAGTAAAATTGTCCTAATTAACTGACAACACTATGATAAAAATAGTATGCACATTGGCTTACTCTATCCCTCTTTTATTGTCTCTCTCCCCTTCACACACACATATATATGACAAAATCAGTTATTTGGAGACACTGGGAATGACAACATGAATTGATTGGAAATCGATTACATTATCGTCACTATTATTGGTAAAGGTGTGAGTTATCTCGTTGTTGATAATGAAGATTGAATTAGTGATTAGTCTTTTTTTAAATTAAAAGAAGTACTGGGTTCGAAACTCAACGTAAATATCAACAATTCTGGGATATAGTAGGCACATCCAGTTGACGAGTACCACAGCAACGCGAAACACGTATCCTAGATTACATTACTAGATATAATTTATCTATTCTGAATACTTTATTATTGTGGTTGTAGGAATTATCGGATGTTATTGAGATTATGTTGTGCTGTAAAGAGTATTAATGATACGCAAGCTTTTCATATAAGAGGTTAAAAAAATGAGAAAGGAGCTTTCACTAACTAACTGAACCGGAGTGCATGTGTACTCATTCATAAACCTATGTCTGTCTCTTAGAAAACTAAGCCATCAATAGTGTATTTCTCATTCTTAGAAAATGCAATACTATTTTTACTTCCTAATAGCATCCGTTTGTCATTTGTCCGATTTCTAATAGACTCACAATATATCACAATTAATAGGATAAGTAGTGAGTTTTTTTATGTCATTATAAATATGGTTGTATGTGGTAAGTTTGAAATGGTTAAGGATGAGGAGAATCCGCTCTCCTCGTCGAATCGCTTTCACATGGCCACGCGTATACAGCCATTATCAGGAAAATCCTACTCATCGCCTTCTCGATGCGGCAGTGTCGTTTACGAAATTGAGAGGACGAAAAGCGAATGTCTGGCGCTTTAATCGGGTTGGTGGATACGGAGAGTCTACCCAGGGGAGTTGGAAAACCCTGATTTCAAACCAATGGTGCACGTGGGCTCCAGGATCGTGACAGAACAAATGGCATATGAACCCAATGGTTCATCACCAGCTACCATGGAACTGAATCTTCTAACGTTGCTCCAATGCCTTGTGGGTTAAACATGTAGGTCAAAGGCTCGGTGAGTGGCCCTCTAAAAAAATCACCTGCTTCGGTTTGGGCACCCGGGCAGTATCCCAGCCCTCACACAAATCGAATGACGAAGTATGGAGCATGTATATTTGGTGACTCCTTGTACCAATGTTTATGTGTTTAAATAAACAAATAAATATTATTTTTATCAGTATAGGGTTGTGGAGATCGTTGAGTTGAAATTGATATCATGAATGAATATCAAACCACTATTGAAAACCTAGAAATGCTGGACGGACGTTTCATCCTAGTGTAGGACTCCTCAGCGGTGCGCATCCAGGGTCTCGCGCGTGAACACTTAACCTCTAGACCACTGAGCCGGCATCCAACAGTGCTAATGTCTAACTTCAACCAATACACGATATTGTGCGTCCATCCACCATTGTCCTCAGTGAGTAACTGCCTCTACAACAGACACAGTTGAACTCCACTAGCCACATTTTCTCACTGGAACTCCAGGAAATCCATCTTGAAGCCAGTTACTAGTGAACACATAAGAAGTTCCATACTAGGACGAAACGGCCGTCCAGTGCTTTCAAGTTTTCAATGGCGGTCTGACATTCATCCATTCATAATATCAATTTAAATATTATTTTATCAAACTATGAACCATCCAATTCATACATAGATTTACGCTCTTGAACTATATGTATTACATAGAATAAGATGTAAGTGTATTAGCATGTATACAGACAAAGTACAGAAGAAAATTCACTGTTATACATATATAGTAACGCCTATGAAAGCCCATACGAAACTGTTGAAATGTTGTGATATCTATAATGTATTAAACCTTTAATATTGAACAATAGCGATTTGTAATGTTATTAGAAAAAAAGCTGAACCATTTATTAACCCATTAATATAATGACAAAAGCAAATCGTGAATTAACGATAAACACATACACACACATATACACGTAATCGATTTCAATGATTGATATCAAAATCAGATCAGTATGAATAGAAGAGTAGAGGAAGTTATTGATGGAAACAACTTTGACAGATTTTAGTAATGATGGTGTGTAAGTATGTTGCCTGGAGAAAGACTTCAGTGAGACCATAATTTATAGATGACTTTTAAGCGATACTAAAGTGACCTTGGGAAAATTCACCAACTTACTAGGGTTAAAAGAGAGTTATAAATGTCTGAGGATTTAAAGTTAGAAAATAGGGTTAGGAATTACAGTTCGAGTTTTCATCATGAACTGACATTAGCTATAATGTCAAAATGCTATTTGATCATTAAGGTGAAAAAATTTCGTGCTAAAATCCTAGACTTGGTATCTTCAATCTTATGAGTTCATCTATAAATTATAGATTTGCCAACTTTTTGAGTTTGATTATGTGAATGATATTGTCTAACTGTGAGACGATACTCAAGTCATACAATACACACTTGATCAGTTGACACTCAGTGTTCGTAGGTATAGTATCTACTTTGCAGCTATTAATCACAAAGTACTTTAGCAAGACTGACAGTAGCCTCTACCTGCACCCAGCCTTGCTAGTGAGCAGGTAGAAGTAGTTGAAATGTTCATGTATCTGAATAGCTGTGTAAATGCTGGTGGTGGGGTGAGTGATGAGATAAATTCACGTATAGTGATAGCTAAAACAGGTCATCCCAATCTGAGTCACCTTTGGCGTTTTTGTGATTTTAGTATAGCTTGAAAAAGGTCAGATTTAGAATGAGTCGGTAAAATATTTTGGCTGTATGC